AACTGCGGGGAACTCTGCAAAAAACGCATCTTCGTACGGGCAGCCCGTGCGTTGGCCAATTTTTGCAGTATCTGTCCTGTCGTCAATTACAAGTGCATGTAAGCGTTGGCAAAATCAGTGACTTTTCAATTTCCAACAAAGAAGCTGTGCACTCTACTGTTAGCCCACAACGATTAGGATGGTGTCTTTTCTTGAAATTAGCAGACATTTGAGTCTTGTGATGTTTTCGTTTTAAGTTCTCAGCTCTCGGTTTTTTGCTTTGAACCGACTTCTTTTCTTCAGTACTCTTTGGCCCCTCCATTGATTATAAAGTTTGGCTGAATTCTTTTTTCTGAAATGTAAGGGTAATCTTTTATTTAAGATTTTTGCCGATCAGTTACGCTTTTGTACATCTTTAGCTAGGTCCTGATTGCTCCATAGCAAAATGTGTACCTCACTGAAATCTCAGACTGGTAACGTTGTTGTAGTGACGCTTCATTTGCGTATTTAGCGAATCGCCAAAATGAAATTTCTGCGCTTTTTTTTCCGAGAGGGATAGTGGCTCCTCTTTTCCTGACACAGAAGAAAGCCAGCAATTCCTCTCTCGCATTTTTTTGCAGTCAGTCTAACAGACACATGCAGCGCACTTGTGCTTAAACTCTCAGACTGGTAAAGTTGTTGTAGTGGCGCTTCATTTGCGTATTTAGCGAATCGCCAAAATTCATGAGCTTTCCAGTACCCATTTTCAGTTCATATTCACTGTTGCAATTTTGTACTGCATCACTGAAATCCATGTGCTGGCATTTATGATCTTCCCGTACACGACGCTACTACCCACTGTTACCGAGAAATTGTTGAATCATGCAATACCATACAATCCGGGTGGACTAACACAGATGGAGCAGCGACTCGGATGCAGTTTTGACCTGAATCTTTATGCGGCACAGAAGAGGAAACAGAATCCATTGGTAAGCTTGTGCTTATCATATTGGTTTCCAAACACTGCTGGGCTTTCAGGTCTGTCAAACGAATAGATCTTCAGACTCCTCCTTTGCGCATTTTATACAGACTGCAATGCTGATACTGTGCTTGACTCAAAATACCGCTGCCAATATTTTCTTTCTTTAACACGAATTAGCTCTCCTTCGTTTTATACAACTTTCTTTTTT